CACATAGATGGCCTTAGGATTGAGGAGTGGACTTAACTATGGATGCTGTTGCACAAGTTACTCATGAATGTGAAACATGCACTGCAATTAAGCAAGCCAAGTGGATAAAGCCTCTTTTGTATGGAGGATAGTGCCTGAAACCTGGCAGGTGGATTATATCACACTCCCACAAACGCCATGGCAGGCATCATATGCTTGCAGTGGTAGAAGGAATCATTAGATGCCATGTCCTGTGCCCCATGCCACTAGAAGGACTGCACTATCCTGGGCCTTGAAAAGCAAATCTTATGGCAACATGACATCCCAGAAAGAACTGAGTCAGAAAACGGGGCTCATTTGAAAATAGCCTCATAACTACCTAGGCCAAAGAGCGTGGCACTGAAGTGGGTATATCACATCCCCTATCATGCACAGCCTCTGAAAAAAACGAGCGATACAGTGGATGGTTAAAGACTACACTGAGAGCAATAGGTGCTGGGACACTCAGGCACTGGGACACACATTTAGCAAAAGACAGCTGGTTAGTCAACACTCAAGGATCTGCCTATTGAACTGGTCCTGCCCAGTCAGACCTCCACCATACCATAGAAGGGGATAAAGTCACAGTGGTGCACAGAAAAAACAAAACAACAACAAAAAAACATGCTGGGCAAGACAGTGTGGGTCATTCCTGCCTTGGGCAAAGGCAAGCCTATTCATGGAACTGCTTTTGCTCAGGGACCTGGGCCCATGTGGTGGGTAATGCAAAAAGACAGGGATGTCTGTTACGTACCTCAAGGTGATTTGGTGCTGGGTGAGAACAGTCAATAATTTAAATAGTGTTAAATTGCTACATAATACCGTGTGTCATCACTACTATGGTTCTTATATACCTTGTTAGCAGTATTACAGTAAGAATTACCCAGGTTAAAGAAGAACGAACTCTGATGGAACCCGAACTAGCCTCTGTGTGCAGTAACACAGTACTGTGAGTCATCCCTCCTGTGCTGAAGGACTGCTATGACACATGAAGCTTGAAGTTATGAACTAGATGAATACCACGAACAATTCAAATGGATGGCTGACAGACCACAGAAAAAATATGTGTGTATATGTATTAAAAAAAAAAAAAAAAAGATTGGGGATGGTAATTAGGATGTGTGGAAATTGAGGTACCTGAGCATTATGTAAATGGTATGGAATACAGGGTGGATATTGTCTCAGTTTCAGCAGGGACAGCAGGGACAGAACTGTCTGGTACGATGCTATGTTTTGGTTCTAGGAAAAAAACAGCGCTGATAACAAGCAGATATTTCTAGCCGCTGCTAAGCAGTGTTGTACAGAGCCAAGGCTATTCGCAGCAAAGGGCCCAAGAAGGAACAGAATTAGGACAGCTGACCTAAAGTGGCCTAGAGGGATATTCCGTATCATATGGCACCGTGTGGAAGGAGTTTTGAAGGGGTGGGTGTTCTTTCTTTTCTCTCCTGCTGCTCAGAGGCTAGCTAGGTGTTGGTCCTGACCAAGGGTGAGCAATTGCTCCTGCATCACTTGCTATGTGTGTGTGTAATCATAGTTACAATTCTTCCCCTTTTCTCTGTCTTATTAAATAGTTTTATCTCAACCCATGAGTTTTACTTCATTGTTGTTTTGTTGTTCTTGTTGTTGTTCTCTCCTCCATCCCTTTGGGAAGCGGGTGGAAGTGAGGGAACAACTGTGTGATGCTCAGCCACCTGCTGGTTAAACCACAACACTGGGGCACCATACGGAGATACAAGAGATGCCACACTTACTTCTCTCTCTCTATGAAGATAACCCAAAGCTGAGTATTCACTCTGTGTTCCTGAGGCTGCTGTTCCCCATGGAGAGCACTGTGCCACCCCTCTGAACTTAGGGGCCCTGGGATTGAATTCACCTCTGCGGTGGAAAGGGATTATGGGCAGGTCTCTGACTTCTGCATGCAGACCACACTAGACTGTGTTAAACCACCCATGCCAGGTCAAAGTCCCTGTCTTGCCCTGTACATTGTGCAGAAGGAATGTGCAGTTTGTACCGTGCACCAGTTTGTAATTTGGATGGGATGCAGAAATGAAGAGCTAGACCTCTATTACCACCCGTTGCTCCTCACATGAGGCTCCTTGCAAATGGCACTGGGCAAAAAATCATCCGCCTTGCAGATCAGACATGATGTTAGGACAATGAACGATGGGAGCCAGAGAGGCAGATAATGGAACTGCATGAGCTGGTCTCTGCCACATGTGGATTTTTGTGTTCTATTATCAAGCTTTCAAAAAGCAGTTAAGCACGACTGCATCTTGAAACTTGCCTGCATCACTTTGCAAAGCATCCAGGTTGAGTACAGATCCTGCACGCTGCTTTTGGCACAGAACACCAAGGGGAGTGGGCTGCTGCAGAACCCTGCATACATCACTCATGGGACATGAATTGGGATGGCACAAAGGGGACGTGGTTGCAGCTGGGCAGAGCTGCCGGCCCAGGGATGATCCAGCCGACTTCCTGGAAGCGTGTGGCTGATTCCTGGGAAGAACAGTGCGTGGCAGTGCTCTCCTCCTCCCTTTGTTATTCTTCAGCAGCTTCTCCTCTGTCTTTCAACCAGATGTGCTCTGCCAAGTGTTCAAGAGAGGCTGGGTGATTGGGTCTGTCACCAGCGAGAGCAGAGCTCTGTGTGCACTGTGCGAGCAGCTGGCAGACACCCAGCACGCCCATCTAATTATTAAATATTTATTGCACCTTTAATGGGTCAGTTACAACAGAAGAATGCTCCCAAGGAGCAGGCTGCAAAGAACGGGAAAGTACAATTAAAAGCTGTCAAAGCCAGATGAAATGCAGCACAGTAATGCACTGCAGATGACCCGGCCCTCCTGCAATAAAATGTGGTGCAGCTGTTGCTGCAGGCACCGCCTCCAGCAGCTTCTTCCCTTCAGCAGCCATCGGCACCACTGCTTAATGCTGGACATGGCCAGCCCTCTGTGACACGGCCAAGCTTGTATCTGCTGTGAAACTGTCCGTTCTCCTGCACCGTGTGATTCTCACAGTGTCCTCTGGACACAGCGTCCAGCACCAGCTAGAAGCAACATAATGCCAGTGGGTGACTGCTGGCTGACGGGCTGGGCTCAGAGGGTTATACTAATGGGGTTACATGGCAGTCAGTCACCAGTGGGGTCCTGCATTGGGTCCATTTATGGGCCAGTTCTCTTCAGTGGGTTATCAGGGAGCTGACTGCACACTGACTGACAATGCTGAACTAGGAGGAGCCATTGGTTCCCACGTTGGAACTGGATGATCTTTGAGGTCTCTTCCAACCCACGCCATTTGATGATTCCATGATCCTTCCCATTCGGGGGACTGGGAAACCCCTTTCTGCATGGCATTTCACAGGCTCCATACCTGGTACAGGGCTAGGGAGCACTGCTAATGCTCTCCATCACTTGCTCTGCTCCAACCAGCACTGTGCTGGATGAGGGATGTCCAATGGCCTGCAGCAAGGAGCAGAGCTGTTCTGCAGCACAAAGGAACAAAAAAGATAAAAATAAGTACACAGGGTGTGTTTTCTGGGTGTGTGGGGTTTTGTTTCTTTGACTCGCAGCCACAGGACCCACATTCTTCTGCACAATTTTTATTAGGTGCTGTCATGAGACCAACTAACCTGCAGCCCTGTGAGTAACAAGCCCAGGTGCGCAAACTGCTCTCAGTGATTTAGGTGTTCACGTGGCAGTTCTGAGCACCAGACACTCATGTGCCCAGTACCACCTTTGTGCTACAGGGACACAAGGCACAAGGAACAGGCAGACAAAGGGGACATGTGAAAATGGGGGATGTGTGGACGTGGGACACACAGATTAGGGATAAGTGAACATGGGGGAGGCATAGCTGCGATGGACATACGAGACATGCAGGACAGGCAGACAGAGGACA